GTGTGCACTCAACAAGAATGGTTGACCTCATAGCCCTTTAAAAAAAAAAAAACTAAAAGTGCATTAAAAGTCAGAGCTTCCATTAAGACTTTCCAAAACTGTATTTATTACCCTTAGGAAGTCACAGGAGTTAAGGCCCTCTTCCTGTTCAGTTCTATCAACTCTGTAAGCAAAGTTTAAAATATTTAATCTTTGCCAGTACTTAGAATATTCTACAGTGACTGGGAGGAACACAGAAACAACATATGTTCATCTTGCCTTTCTTTGGGCCAAGTGCCCTTCCCCATTATGTAGGTATCATGCATTATCAGATTTCTCATTTATTTTGTAGTATTTCTCCCAGTTCTCTTCCTGAAAATGTCACTTTATAGAATATATGAAAACATACATTTGTTAAGCTTTTTATCTGTTAGGAAGAGCATAGCTATTTCTCTTCTTCACCTTCTTCCCAAATTTATACAATAACCTTTTCATTTTATCTTTAGAAACTCTTTACAACTATATTGATCAAGGGCTGCTTTGCCCCTTTGTTACTGTAACTTCTGTATTACCATTTTGAATGTTATACCTCTCAAAAACATACACATTTCCCTAATCTTTTCCATTATTTATTAGGGACACTTACCTACAATACCACAGACATCTTATATATCCTCACAGAGTCCACAATAAATAGTTAGCCACTGCCATGCACGGATGCTTGAATGTTCATAGACAGTGATCACCACTGTCTACTCTCTACACTTGCTGCTCTCCCTGCCAGCAACAGCACATACCAAATCCTTGAGTAAACTTCTGTCTTCATTCCCTCTTCCCTTCTTGAAAATTTGTGTAAGGCCAAGTGTGACAACATTCAGGCTTATCCGTTTCAATCCCAATTTCTCTTCTCTTCAGGAGAAGAGGCTAGCAAGACAAAATGATAATATCCTATGGGTTGAATCTGACCTCGACTATCAGCTGCATCATGAAATGGGCATATATCTTTTCCTCACTTGTATTTAAAATAGTAAGGTGTCTGCGCAGAGACAATTTGTCCTCTCCTGCTCATCGCAATCTGAGCAGCATCTGTTACAGTCAAATTCTCACAGATGGAACTTGTAAGTCACAGGGTCAAAAAAAAACCATAAATAAGTAACAAAGCAGTTCGCAATCTCTACATTTTGAATTGTTTTGCAGAATAGAAGTCTACACAGAGGCTTGTATGAGTGACAATAAGTAGGTCAGTCTGGCTGACGTTAACTACTGAGTGGTTCCTCTAGGAAGACATAAGTGGAAACGTAAAAGACTTAGTTACACTTTAATGACTTAAATTGCTCTTGAAGACATACCTGCTTTTAATTTCATGGTTCAAAGTTATTGCTGGTGTAACCAAACAGGAGCAATGAGATTACACTAGGAATTTTTTTAACATAATATGAATACAACACAATCTCAAAAAGATTTCTTTCTTTTCTTTTAACAGTGCTCATAAAATGCACTTTTTTACCTTAAATCCAGAAAGGTACGGGAAGATCCGGACATCTTAATTTTCTCTATCACAATGATTGATAGGCTTATACCTTATGATAGTTATATATAGTATAATAATCCTCAAAAAAGTTGTTCTGATTTTTCACACTTACCTAATTACAACCCCTAGATATATGTCTCTCTTCTCTGTCTTGTAAGTAATTAGAGATTTATTAAGATTAAATCTAACGTTGGCAGAGGAATACATTATCTGATTTATTGTGGTGGAAATTTAATGGGCTCTCTAAAATACCAACTGAATAGTGTATTAAAGAAAAACAGAATATATATATTTAGAATTACAGCAAATGAAAGCAGAACTGCATTTTTAAATGCATTTCTTAGATTAAAGCTATTATTTTACAAAAAAACAACGTACTAGTGCAATTTTATCAATACTGATGCAAC